CATGTCCCCAAAACTGCCCCATTCCTATAACCCACCTGTGTGTCCCCAAAACTGCCCCATTGCTATAACCCACCTCCGTGTCCCCAAAAATCCCCCATTCCTATAAGCTGCATGTCCCCAAAACTCCATTAGGGGGTTGTCAGTGGGGCCATGGGCTAATTGGGAATCCTGAGGGGGCTATGGGGTCACTGGGGGGGGTTATGGGGATTAGGGGGGTGTCAGTGGGGCCATGGGCTAATTGGGAATCCTGAGGGGTCTATGGGGTCACTGGGGGGGTTATGGGGTCACTGGAGGTTATGGGGTGATTAGGGGGGTGTCAGTGGGGCCATGAGCTGATTGGGAGGCCTGCCCCATTGCTATAACCCACCTCCGTGTCCCCAAAAATCCCCCATTCCTATAAGCTGCATGTCCCCAAAACTCAATTAGGGGGGTGTCAGTGGGGCCATGGGCTAATTGGGAGGCCTGAGGGGGCTATGGGGTCAATGGGGGGGGTTATGGGGTCATTGGGGGGGTGTCAGTGGGGCCATGGGCTAATTGGGAGGCCTGAGGGGGTTATGGGGTCACTGGGGGGGGTCAGGAGTTTATTGGGGTCTGGGAGGTCGTGACCCCAACGTGGTTCAGGGAGCCAATGGAAGTCAAAGGGAGGGGACACACCCATCGAGGGCCCGCCCACTACCACACCCATTTAGGCCCCGCCCACAAACGAACCCGGGGTCATTCGGGCCACGCCCCCTCCCTGAGCGCGGGACGGGTGGGGGCGGAGCCTCAATGCGCGCTCCCGGTGGGGCGGGGGGGGACGGGGCGTGGCCGCGGCCGCGCGCGCGCGCGCGCCGCTCTCACCTGCGCTCAGGTGCTGCCGCGGGCGCGCGCCGCCATCGCGCTCTCCCGGCGGGGGGCGTGGCCTCCTCCCCGCGCATGCGCAGCTCTCCCCGCTTCCCTTCCCGCCCGCCGCGTCCCTCCCGTTGCCGGGCGACGCGCGCGCTCCCCGCTGCGCCGCCTCTGATTGGCTGAGGCCGCGGCGGGCGGCCAATGGCGGAGGGCGTAGTTGAGGGGTGGGCGGGAGGCGGGAGCGCGGCCGCGCGTGAGGGACGGGCGGAGCGGGCGAGCGGCCGTGAGGGGAGATGTCGGCTCGGGGGGGATTCGGTGACCCTCAGGTGCCGTGAGGGGACTTTTCCTTCTCAACACCCTCGGGCTGGTGAGGGGAGAGGCGGGGGAATGGTTCGTGCAGCCCCCGCAGCCGGGAGAGCTCCGTGTGGAGAGAAAACGAGAGAAATTCTCCTTTTGAGGCTTTAAATCAGCGGGGTTTAATGGCGAGATGGGGATTCAAGAATTTCTCGTTTTCCTGTCTCTTAAAACCCCTTTAAATCGCATTTTCTGTTCCTTTTTTTTTTTGCTTTTTTGCTTTTTTTTAAATTTTATTTTTAAAATTTTTTTCTTTTCATCTTTTTGTTTTTGAAACAGTTTCTAACCCGGCGCATCCCCTCGAATCCCAAGTATCAACATATAAAAACTCGTCTGGATACTGGTAAGTGAAATTGTGAGGTAAAACCACCCAAAATACGATGGAAAATATAATTAATGCCTTAATTACCTCTGCCCTGAGCTAATTTACCCCATCACTGCAGAATCCTTCTTGTGCTTATGATTTGTCTCACCAAATGTTTGCGATTAATAAAAATTTCCTATTTGTAATTTTCCTTCAAGGCTGAAATTTAAACAAGCACGAGCTATACAGATTTATGTGTGTTTATGTAATTTTTAATGTATTTATGTGTATTTATCTTCACACACCACCGTGCACCCCCTGAAAATTGAGATTAAATTCTTTGTGTGTAGGTGACCACATGTTTAAAGCCTTTATTGCTTTAAAACCTTTTTATTTTTTTCTACTCTTCTTTTTTAAAGAAGAATTTGAGGGTTAAATAAGTTTAAACTGGATCAGGCTCTGTTGTGGTGGTACCCATAGAAATTACTGATCTTGGAATTTCTGTCCATGGATTTATTTAAATAAATAATTGCAATAAATAGAATTTTTTTTGTTGTTGTTACAGGAAATAGTTTGTCAAAATACATGGAAAAATTGGAAGAGATCAAAAGAAGTGAGTACCTGGGGAGCAGCAGGATGGGTTGGTTCAAAACTCAAAGAGCAGGAGATGAATTCCAAGAGGTTTTCCTTGGAAATCTCCACAGATTTAATTTAAGAATCCAAGCAGGAAATCTTCCAGATCCTCCTTTGTGCAGTTTTGTTATTGGATTTTGTTATTGGAAGTTCTCTGAGCTAAGAAATCCAGGCTAGACTCATCTGGGAAGATTAATGGATCATTTCTGAGACTTTATTTCACTTTTAGGTCACAACTTGAGCTCTTTTATCTTGATATAATTTAAATTCTTATCAATTGATCTTGTATCTTGATATAATTTAAATTCCTATGAATTTAAATTCTATAAATTCTCCAAGACAGGAAAAAACCAAGCTCATTTCTTGTGTTTCCATTGATTTCACCAACACTAAACGTTGCTGTTTTGAAGACTTTAGGTTGTTCAGGCTAATAAAGCCCTAAATTATTTTTATTTCCCTATTTTCTCACCCAAACCAGGCTTTTCAAATAAATTTTTCCCAATCAAACCAATGATTTATGACTTTATTCCCAGACTATTCTCACATAAGGAGCCAGGAAAACTCTTCAACCTCAAAGCTCCATTTCTGGAGGCGAAAAAAACAAACGTGAATTGAACTGAAACCTCCATTAATGAGGATTAATTAGGATTTGAAACGTTCAGGTTTAGTTCTCAGCCCCACTTTGTGAGGGAGGTCACGGGAATTTATTTGTGCAAATCAGGCCTTTGTTTGTGGTTTGTTTGTTGGCTTTTGTTTGGTTTGGTTTTTTTTTCCCAAACACTGCAGGTCTTTGGGGATGAAAATGAAAAGAGGGATGACCTTGAGCTTTCCAAAATGCTCTGTTGACTGAGATTTCAGTGCAGGACACTACCTTGCTTTTTATTTCTGTTGAAAATCTTGATTTTTTTTTTTTTTTTGTGCCTCGGGTGGGTTTCCAATCTCACCGCGGATCTGTTCCATGCAGTTCTTTTATTTGGTTTGGTTTTTTTTTTTTTAAATTTGGAGGGAGGAACTTTCTCATTCTCTCCAGGCTGAATGGCCACGTTGTGTTCCCAGGGAGTGGAGGAACTTGTCCCCCTCGGTTTCTCAGGGATAGATGACACCCTTTGGATGCAGATTTCAATCCCCAGCACAGGCACCTCTCTGTCCCTTACGTAACCTGAGAGATTTAAATCCAACGCCATCAAAAAAAAAAATTAAAAGAGCTGCACCCACCATGATCCATCCTTTGGAGGATTGAGGACACACACAGGAGGTCTCCTCCTTCTCTCTGCTCTTGTTTCCCTCCTCTCCCAAGCCCATCCTTGGAACACGGGATCATTCCAAGCAAAACCATGTCAGAAAATTCCAACGGATCCTCCAGGACCGGCCCGGGTACGTGGGGTTGATTTTTTTGGAGCTGGAAGCAGCGATTCTGAACTCTCTGGGAAGGAGTTTTGGGTGGCAAGGGTAAGATCTAGGGCAAAGAGGCTTTTTTTGGGATAAAAAAATCTTTATTTGAGGTGGGAAGGAGCCATCCAGGAGCTGCATTCTTGGACAGGGGTTCTGCTTCTCTGGTGTTTGTATCCATCCAGCTCTTCCCAAGCTTTGCTGCTTTTATTTCTCCTTCTAAATGAAGTTTTTATTTGCCGTGACAGAAAGGCTCTTTTTTGGCCTTGCCTGGGCAATTTTAATCCTTGAGCAGATGGAAAGGGAAATAATTACAGGAGATAATTGTTGCTGGGGTTTTTTGGAGTTAAAGGAGGATTTAACAACCTCAGCTTGAAACCAGGTGGTTCTGAACCACGAGGGTCATTTCCCAGTTAATTTACATCCTGAAATTCAGATTGTGCACCTCCTCATCCTCCAATGCAGTTTCTTCACCTCCTGTGCTTTCAGCCCTGTGGATTGGATGTGCAGTGGATATTTTGGAAGGGCTCCTTTTTTTTTCACTTGGACAACTTAGAGCCTAATCAAAATGATTTAGGGTGGGACTTTGAATTTGGGAGCCCTGAATGTCTTGGCCTCCAGCATTCCCGTGGCTCTCTAAACACAACTCAGCTTGAGAATTTCCATAAGCAAATCCCACAAGGAAATTTTTTTTTTTTTGTGTGTGTGGTGGCTGCAGGAATGTGCAGGGGAACCCTTCCCCCTTCTCCCTCCTCTCCCCTCAGCTAATGGAGCATTCAGCAGATGGTTTTAGAGGATTTAGAATCCTTGAACTGAGTGGATTTGCCAAAGATGCTGTGCTCCATTGTTCCCCCCAGGAGCTGGACAGGAATCTGCATTTCCCAAAGGACAAAGCTGCCTTTGCTTCCCAGGAGAGGTGATTCCATAGCGAGATGTTCCTGCTGGTACCATCCTGGCTTCTCTTCCCTCCTCCTCACACTTTTTTTTTTTTTAATTCCAGGACGTTTTTTTTCCCCTTCCTTTACCTCTCCAGGATCTGGATGGGCTCAGGCTCCCATCTCTTGGCTCTGGGAATCTCTGCTCTGGATCTTTGCCAACAGCCCTGCTCAGTTTTCCTCCTCCCTAAGCTCTCTTCAGGATTAAGATTCAATTAGTGCAGTTTCTTGTGTTAATTACCCATTAAGACTCAATTAGTCCAGTTTCATGTGTCAGCCATCCCTTCCTTGAGAGAGATCAGTATCAAAGAAATCAGAATTTAATTGTCAGATAAAGTATAAAATCTTGGATTTTTTAAAATTAAGAGTGTTTAGCTTGGTGTTTGCAAAGACACGATGCCCCATGCTCTGATTCTGCTGTAATTTACACAAATTAAAAATTAGGATAAATTAATCTTTTGGTTTAAGGAGCTTTGTGACTCCAATGGGCTCCAAAGAACAGCAGGGAAAAGGGAAAATTCCTGAATTCCTTCCTTCCCCAGCACCACGGAAAACATAAATTCATATTTGAGTCTAAAAACAACTAAATCTGCCTCTTCCACTTCATCACATCTGGATAAGATCTCTTTATAACTGGTGTTAATTAAACCCTCTTTTTATAATTGATTGTGGTGGTTTGTAAAGGTTTCTTTAAATTTTTACCTGAAAAAGAAATTTCACTTTCCAACTTTCTTCTTTTTCTTATTTAAAACCTAATTTTTCTTTTTGTCTGATCTTAGTGTCTGAAGTTTTATTCTAAGTTAGTTTTTTTCCCTTAGAGTTTCTAGTCATAAAATTTCTCTTTGTACCATTTAAAGTTAAGCCTGTTTTGCCTTCCTATCTCACAACAGAAAAATTTCAAATTAGTAAACCAAAACCCTCTCTTAATAATTGTTGATTAACTATTAATTAATTGTAAATAATTGTTAATTAAACCCTCTCTTTATAACTGGCATTTCACAAAGTCTCCAGGTTTGCTGCTTTCAGCACAAACCTGAATTCTTGCCTGGCTGCAGAAGAGTTTCAGAGAAAATCTGGGATTAAGCCATGACCTGGTGTCTAAAAAAACTGGGAATGAACTGGGAATTGACCTTGTCCTCTTTGTTTTGTTTTTGAAGATTACAGGTATAAAAAGGATGAGCTGTTTAAAAGGCTGAAGGTGACAACTTTTGCTCAATTGGTAAGTCAAGATCCCTGTCTGGCTTCCAGAATCTTCCAGGAGCAGCATTTTTCCTTGGAATAAAAAAATTCCTCTCTAATTATTTAGCTTTAGTTATAATTATTCTGTCGTGGCTTCTTCCTGCCTTTAATAAAAGCAAATCATTCATTTCCTCAGTGGCCAAATGCCTTTAATTACAAATTAAAGTTTGTGGTGACTCCATCTTTGAAATTTATTCCTTATTTTATTTGTCCATTAACTTGAGAGGATCCTCAAGCATCTTGCAAGAGAGAAAGGCTGTGTAAAACAGCACTAAATCTGAATTTTGTGCCTGAAGCCCTCCCTGTCCCCAGCTTTAACTGCAGAAGGGATTTCAAGGCTTTCTGTGCATTATTTTATTTAAAAACAGTCAATCATATTAAAAAAGGTGAAAAATTGATCGGGAAACAAAGAGCTGGGGGGTGCTGGTTCAAGAAAACTGCTTCAAACTAGAAAAAAAACAACAAAAAACCCCAAATTGTCTTCTCAAGAGAGAAGGAAAGGGAAGGTTAAACTTGGAGATGTTGGATTCTGCAGACTTGGTTTTTTTTTTTTTTTTTTTTTTTTCCCTGGATTGTTTTCCTTGAGCTGCTCCCTGCTGTGGATGTTGGGGATCAGTGTCTCTGTGGTTTTGTGCCCTGCAGGTTCTCCAGGTCGCCTCTCTGTCCAATGAAACCTTAGAAGTGACAAACGAGGAGCTGCACGAGCTGCCAGGTGACAAAGGGGGGGAAAAAAGACAAGAGCTGGGGGTCACTGCCAAGTGTATTATAGGAAAATATTATTAGGAAAAATAAAATTTCACCTGCGATTCCAGGCTGGGAATAAATAAAAACCCTCCTAAAAAAAAGAAGAATTTTCAAGTAGGAAAAGCCTGGTGCTGGCAGATTGGTTGCAGTAACATAACCCACATCAAAAATTCTGTTTTTCTTCTTCAAATAAGATCTCGAGCCCCTAAAAAAATCTGTTGGCTCTTTATTATTTTAAACAGGAGGCCCTGGATAAATTCTCCTCGTTAAGAGGATGAAAATAAAGCTGTCACACTTTTCTTTCCAGGAATAGAAAGCGCCCTTAAAACCTGCTTGTTTACCTCTCGTTCTTCTGCCCTCTTGTCTCCCCAGATGCCGATGCTGCGGGTGACGATGCCTCGGGGACAAACGGCAAAGGGAGCCCTGAGGGGACAGCCAGCCCTGTCCTGTTCCTGAACAGCTCGGGGTGTGGGGAATCCCATCGCTCCACACTGCAGAGGTGCCTCACAGTAACATCCATTTCCTCCTGCCTTCCCTTAGCCCGGGAATCCTTGAGCCCAGGCTCAAGGCTGCTAAGTGCTTTTGTCCTGTGTTTTCTGGTTAAAGCCTGGGTTTGGAGGTGAGAGGGAGGGCGTTGGAGGATTTCCTGTTGGACTGGGTTTGGGTGGAGGCAGCAGCCCAGCGTTGTCACCTGGTGATGGCCTGACAAGGAAATGTGTTGGTGGGATTCCACATTTCAGGATTTTGGGGGTAACAAGGCAGTGCTCTGGTCAGCTCTGTTGTGGGCATTCCTGTTGATGTTTTTGTATGGATGTGGAGGGACAGGACGCAGGGAGTGGCCTCAGAGTGACACAGGGATCTTGGGAAGGAACTCCTGCGTGGGAAGGGGCTGGAATAGAATCCCAGAGAAGCTGTGGCTGCCCCTGCATCCCTGCAAGGTTGGGCAAGGCTTGGAGCAGCCTGGCACAGAGGGAGGTGTCCCTGCCCATGGCAGGGGCTGCAATGAGATCCTTTAGGTCCCTTCCCACCCAATCCATCCTGGGACTGACAATAATTCCAAACCCACCGCGTGAAGCTTGATGCTGCAAGAGGAATCTTTATCCCAGCTCTTCACCAAAGCATTCCTTAACCCCCAGTTCCCTTTGCAGTGTGATCAGTGGGGTCGGGGAGCTGGACATGGAGAAGGATTCTCCAAAGAAAGAGGACCCCCAGGCCAAGGAGAGGCCTTACCCCGACTGCCCCTTCCTGCTGCTGGACGTGCGCGACCGCGACGCCTACGAGCAGTGCCACATCGTGGGGGGTGAGCAGCCACCGAGTTTGCATTCTCATTTCTGTTTCATTCTCATTCTCATCCTCATTTTTCTGTTCTTTTTGCCAGAGTCAGGATTAAATTCTCGAGATGGTATTTCTAGTTCAGGCTCGGATGTTTGTTAATTCTTATCTACGTTACAGCGAGGGTTACAGCGCTTCAAGGTGACAAAGTGACAATGGAGCCATATCTCTCTGCAAGGCCTTTTAAAGGCAAATCGTGCAATTAAGAAAAGCCACCGAAATTATTTTTACTTTTAACCCAATAATCAACCACCTGTGGTCCACAGTGTGGATTTTTCCATGCAGTTACAAAATCCCAAATGAAAAAGGTGAAAAAGAAGAAAAACACCCACCCTAAAACCTCCATCTTGCTATATATATATTATTATATTCTAAAACCTTAAATTCTAAGTTTTCCACCCTGTGATATCACACACTTCTATTCAAACTACACACCCATGGTACCAGTTCTGCCATTTAATTTTGGAAGATTTCTCCCTGGCCTCAGTGTTCTCCTGGGGGTCAGCACAGAAAGTCTCCAAGTCTCAGTTTCCAACACGCAGCCACAATCCCACAGACACCTGGGCATGGATTCCAGCTGGGTTTTGTCCCCCAGCTGGGACATCACTGGGTGTTCCCAGTGCTCATCCAGCACATCCCTCCTTCCTGGGAAGGGCTGGGGGGCCTGAGCTGATGTTAATCCTGTACTCAGTGGGTTCTCAAGGCTCTTGTATCCCAGGTTCAGCCTCTGGATGATTTTTTCCTTTTTTTTTTTTTCCCTTCTGCAGCTTATTCCTACCCCATTGCAACGTTGTCCAGAACCATGAATCCATATACAAATAATATTCTGGAATATGTATCCTTTCCATGGAAATATGGGGAGTTTATTGGTGGGGGCTCCCAAAATCAGTTGGAGCTTATCCAAGCAAAATAAGGGATCTCAAAAAAAGTGGCACAGGAGGTGGAGTTCCAGCTCCACTGCCTCCATCAGGTGCTGGATTCTGCTTCCTCAAAGCTCCTGACTGCAGTGGGAGCTGCCTGCATTTGACATTTCCCAGGATTTTGGCTGCTGGAAAGCCAAGCCAGGCTTGGGCACTGCTGCTCCAGGGATGCATCCATCAAATCCTTTGGCTTCCTGTCAGCACCTTGATGGGATTGGGGACAGACAGAGGATTATTAAAGGGGATTAGGCTGATCATTCCCAGGCTGTTGATTCTGAGGGGAGGCTGTAAACAAGGGGGGTGTTGCCATTCCCAATCTTTGAGCAATGCTGGGCCCAGTGGGAATTAAACTGTGTCTGGCACTGAGAATTCCACAAGGGAGAACATTCCTGCTGGATGCTTGCAAGCCAAGTATGAAGTCTTTCCCTCCCCAATTGTCTCTTTTGCTTCCTAAAATGTTTCAATATCCTCTTAAATTCAGCAGTGACTCCTTAACAGTTCCCATGGCAGAAAAACGCCCATGGCAAAATCATCATCGTCTACGACAACGACGAGCGCTTGGCCAGCCAGGCGGCCACCACCATGTGTGAGAGGGGCTTTGAGAACCTCTTCATGTTGTCTGGGGGTAGGTGGGGCTGGCAGAGCTCCCTCACACCTCCTGGGGAAAAAGGAGAGTGGGGAGCAACTTGTGGGAGCTAGAGGTGGGAGAGATCTGGGTTGTGGAATCACAGCATGGTTTGGGTTGAAGGATCATCCAGTTCCAGCCCTTCCACTATCCCAGGGTGATCCAAACCCCAATGTCCAGCCTGGCCTTGGGCATTCCAGGGATCCAGGGATTCTCTGGCAATTCCAGCCAAGCCAGGAATTCCTTCCCAAATCTCCCCTTTCCCAATCTGAAGCCATTCTCTGTGTCCTGTCCCTTGGAGCCCCTTTATTCCCTGGAATGTTCTGGAAGCTCTCCCTGGATCCTTCCCTTCTCCAGGCTGCCAATTCCCAGCTCTCCAGACCCTGAGCTTGGATCCATCTCCTCTCCAAGCAATTGATGGATCCAGGGCCTTCCCTTGGAATCTCAGCAAACCATGAAGGCTCTCCCTTCCCTTCTCCTCTCTTTCCTCTCCCCATTTTCCATCCCAATCCCTGGCAATGGATTCTGAGTCTCCTGAATCCCAGAATCCTGCACTGCCTTGGCTGGGAAGGGACTTCAAAGCTCATTCCAGGGACACCTCCCAGCATCCCAGGCTGCTCCAATCCTTCCTTGGCCATTCCAGGGATTCTCTGGCAATCCCAGCCCAGCCAGCAATTCCTCATTCCCAAGATCCCATCCATCCCTGTGTCCTGTCCCTCTGTCCCTTGTCCCCAGTCCCTCTCCAGCTCTCCTGGAGTCCCTTCAGGCCCTGGCAGGGGCTCTGAGCTCTGCCTGGAGCCTTTTCCTCTCCAGGGAAACATTCCCAGTTCTGAGAGCAGCTCTGGGGCCTCCTCTGGACCCTCCCCAGCAGCTCCAGGTCCTCCTGCTGTTGTCCCCAGAGTTGGATTCCATGTGGGATCTCACCTGAACAGGGCACGGGGACAGAATTCCCCCCTCTCTCCCACTGCCCACATTTCTCCATCCAAACTTTCTGGACCTCCATCTCCATCAATCCCTCATGCCTGATCCCTCCTGACCCATCCAGCTGGGAATAAGAGATGCTCTTGTGTGTCCCTGCAGGCCTCAAGGTCCTGGCCCAGAAGATTCCAGAAGGGTTGATCACAGGCACACTCCCCGTGTCCTGCCAGGTGCCAGCTCCCACGGGAGGTGCCCGCAGGAGAGCAGCTGCCAGGGTGCCACCCACTCGTGCAGAGAACAAATGGAGATTTTCTGCTGATGATCTGCAGAAGTTGAGGCATTACCTGGCTGAGGAGCAGATTCCTTCAGACACTGCCAGTAAGAGTCCAGTGATGCCTTTTTGGGCTTGCCTAGGAACAGAGTTAAAAGAATAAATGGGGATATATTTAATGAAAGGACTTCAATATAATTAAATATATTTAATTAAGGACAGATGAAGTTAATTAACACTTTATGTGGAGTTTAGAGTCATGCACTAATGCAGTATATTTGAAAAATATAAAAGCTAAAATTCCAAATAATTGCCAGAATGTGCTTCAGCCTCATTGTGGAACGGTTGGGTGGGAAGGGACTTTAAACCTTCCACCTTCCCCTATCCCAGGCTGCTCCAAACCCACCCAACCTGGCTTTGGACACATCCAGGAATGGAGCAACCACAATTTGTGCACGGCCAATTTCTGATTTGGGTGTTTGTTTTTTTTTTTTGTCCCACAGGTCGCCTTACCCGGGCTAGTTCAGGCCACGATTCCAAACTCTCATCTGTGAGGAGCAACCCCAGCCTCCCCAGCACTGCTGGATCCCTGAGCAGCCGTTCCCACAGCAGGACCAGCATCCAGAACAGGCCCTGGAAATAAAGGAGTGTCCAGGTTTTGGGAATGCTGGGCAGAGCAGCCCCTTTGTGGTTTTAGGAATCGGCAGGGAAAAGCAGCCATGGTGAGAATTGGCAGCTCGGGTAAAGGCTGGGCAGCTGCAATGATGTTTCCTACAAGCATCACTTGAGGTGCAGGGCAGGACAGAGGTGAGAGAACTGGTTTTGTAGGGGAGGGAGAAAACTGGGACCAGTAGAAACTGTTCCACAAAGTTTTTAGTGCAGCTGAAGGAATTTGTGTCCGTTACATTCCCAGGCTGTGCCTGGAGCCGTGAGAGTGAACAGATCATCTGTGAGCACAAACTTTGGTGGTTTTAGCAGAGACAAAGACATTCAGAAGATCCTGGAAGGGTTTTTTGGTGTTTTTTTTTTTTTTAAATAAATTATGATAATGAACAGAAGTATTTGTAATGAAGATGTTTTTTATTGCCCACTCGGTGCTGTGACAGTCGTGTTTGCTCGTGGACACTTTGTGAATAGTAGTTCCTTTTTCAAGGTGAGCTGGAGGAGAATAACTGGATTTTTTTTTTCCCAGTGACTCCTTTGCCAGAGGTTTTTTAGGAGCTTCTTTAAGGTTTAGGGTGGCTGAAGGAAAATTTGCTGCTACTGCCTCACCAAAATCCCTAAAACCCAGCAGGCACCTGGAACGTGGAGCTGAACAGAGTGAAGGTTTCCTGGAAAATGAGTAGCACAGTTCTCCTCAAATTGGTGCTTCTGGATAACCTGGGAATCCTCTGATTTCCCTGAGCTGCCCGTGGGACACTTTGGAGTTGATTTTGGAGGGATTCTGCTCTCCAGTTTTTCCATCTGGCATTGCTGAGCCTGCTCCTGCTTTGGTTATCGTGGTCTCGTGGGGTTTGTGTGTATTTTTGGATTCAGTGTTTTTCCCCCTTTTTGAAGCTGACAATCTTCAACACATCCCAAAACTGACTGGTGATTTTTGAGATCATTCTGGTGAAAGGACAAAAAGTAGGAGAAATGGCACATAATTTCCAGTTTGGCAGCTTAGGACTCGACATCTCTGAGCATTTTTATCATTTATTGTGTCTCTGAGTGTGGAATCAGACAATGCTGATGGCAGGATCAGTCTGATAAGGTCCTGCTGCTGTGGGAGTAGATTTTTTTCAGCTCCATGAGCTCTTGGAAGTGTCATTGCATTGGCTAAAATCCTGATTTTGCTATCCAGCTGTGGGAGACAGATCCAGAATCTCTGGCTGCTCTGTGCTGTGTGAAAACCTCCTGGTGAAACAAAACTGGCCTGAGTTGTTTGAAATCCTCCAAACCCAAGGAATCAAAGCAAGGACTGGATGTACTTTCCCATCATCTCGATGGATTTGTGTGGATTTGGACTCTTGGTGTTGTTTGGAGCAGAGTCAAACTCTGCAGAGGCTGAGAGGTTTAATTGTTTAATTTAATAAAATGTAAAATACAGCACCTGCTTGGGTGATTTTTATTTTTTTTGTTGCAGCTTTGAGAGGTGTGGAGAGCCTGGAAAAGCTGGGAGTGGGCAGGGGCTCAGCTCCCCATTCCCTAGGGATTGCAGCAGGTGAGGAGGGATCACAAAATCAGAAAGGTTTGGGTGGGAAGAGACCTTAAAGCCCAGAAAGTTCCAACTCCTGGACACCTTCCCTTATGTGAGGGTGCTCCAGCCTGGCCTTGGACATTCCAGGGCTCCAGGGGCAGCCACAGCTGCTCTGGCAATTCCAGCCCAGCCAGGAATTCCTAATTCCCAAATCTCCCCTTTCCCAATCTGAAGCCATTCCCTGTCCCCAGTCCCTCTCCAGCTCTCCTGGAGCCCAAATAAATCCTGCTGACCTCACGTCTCAGAGCCTAATTCCCTTTCCATCCTCTGCCAGGACAAAGGCAAAACCACCACCTTCCTTTTCCTTTGATCCCTGCTATTTTCATGCCCTTTCAATCAATTCCTTTTCCAGGCCACTGCCCCATCACACCCTGCTTGTTCTGGCACCAACTGCAGCTCCGAAACGACTTTTCCACGCGACTTGAGAAAAAGGGACCACAACCACAAGGCTTTTCTCATCCTTCTTTGCATTTCTTTATTGATTGATTGCCTTCTTCCTCCTGTGCAGCTGCTCCAGCCCTGCTCCCAGCTCAGTACAAGTTGTCCCTGGTGTGCTCAATGATGACCTTCAGTGCCAGCCAGGTCTCCTCGGCGGTGGGAACGATTTGTTTGGCGGGCAGCAGGAACCCGTAACGCCCCGTGTCCCTCAGCTCGAAGGTGAAGGAATATTTAATCCCCTGGTTGTAGGTCCAGTCAATGGTTCCTCCACTAGCTCTGTCTGAGGGAGCAAAAAACAGGAGGATTTCAGATCCTTGGATCTCTTTGGACAAGAATTCCGTGGGGTATTTGGCCGGTGTGAGGGATGGTTTTGGTATTTGGGGCTTTTGGGGTTGCCCCAACACTTACAGATGGTGGTGATGATGCTGCCATACTTGTACTGGGTGCCATACAGGGAGGACAGAGCTGCCACAGCCTTGGCTGAAACCTCGTGCTGGGAATACAGAGAAGGGAGAAAGATGAACAAGGGAAGGGAAAGGAAAGGAAAGGAAAGGAAAGGAAAGGAAAGGAAAGGAAAGGAAAGGAAAGGAAAGGAAAGGAAAGGAAAGGAAAGGAAAGGAAAGGAAAGGNAAGGAAAGGAAAGGAAAGGAAAGGAAAGGAAAGGAAAGGAAAGGAAAGGAAAGGAAAGGAAAGGAAAGGAAAGGAAAGGAAAGGAAAAGGAAAAGGAAAAGGAAAACCTGTGGGATACAGCTTTTTCTTTGGGTACAAAAAGATGCCAGAGCTCCACCCCATCCCAACCCCTCAAACCACATGGGTCTCACCAGTTCCTGCTGGTCTGGCACTGCAGTGTAGGTGTAGCCATAGGGGTAGAGCAGGAGCTGGGAGTAGCTGTGGATGGACACAAAAGCCTTGATGTTGCCGTGGCTCTTCACAAAGTCCACGATGGATTTCACCTCGGGCTCCGAGTTGGCGTAGGGTCCGTGGTACGTCTCTGAGCAGGAGCTTGAGCTGGCTCCAGCCTCTGTGGACAAGAGAATGGTGAGAGCACAGTGGGAATTTGGGGTTTTTCCCACCCCTCAGTTCCACAGTGGTGAGCAAGGAATGCTCCTGGGGATCCTCCTAACGTGACTTTCATTTGTCACTGGGGAATATCAAAGCCCTGCTGGAGCCCAAACCCTCAGCTCTGCCACGGAGAGCAAATCCCACCTCTTCCCTAGGGGACATCAGTGGATCTTTGAGGCAGAAACAGCTTTGGAGCCTCCAGCTGGAGAATGGAAAAGCTCCACAGGGGTAGGGGGACAGCTCTGACCTCCAAAACCTGCGTCCCAGTTGCGGTTGGGGTCCACTCCAACACAGATGTTGCCCGAGTGCCTGGACCTGGTCTTGCGCCACATGCGGTTCTGGAAGGGCAGAGCCACCTCAGCTGGTGCCCAGGGCTCGTGGTGGTCCCCTTCCCATCCCATGGAAACGTGGATGAGGGGGCTTTGCCCCAAATCCTGCTCCCCAGCCCCATCCAGCATGGCTGTAGGAACCAGGGAGAGGAAATGGGGGCGGTACCGTGGTCTGGGTGTAGGCAAAGCCATCAGGGTTGGTGACAATCTCCAGGAGGATGTCCATCGTCTCCAGGATGGAGGCCACTCCTTCGTTATTCGCGTGATCTTCCACAATCTAGAGAGGATGGAGGTTTGGGGCTGCCTGTCCTCCCTGTGGGATCACCCAGGGCTCCAGAAGGGACGGGGTGGCCCTTTTGGGATGTGTCATTACCTTCTTGGCAAACCAGACACCGCTGGCCTGCGTCACCCACTCGCGGGAGTGGATCCCGGTGTCGATCCACACGGCCGGGCGGTTCGTGCCCCCTGTGCTGAACTGGGAGAGCAGACATTGGGGGTGGGGGTTGGCTTTGTCCCCATCACCAGTTTCCCCCCCTCTGGATCACAATCCCCAAATCCTCACCTTGAGCACGTAGAGGGGACGGTTCTCGGTGGAGCGGCCGATCTCCAGCTTGCTCACCAGGTTGGGGTTCTCGGCCACCAGCAAGTCCATGAAATTGTAGATCTGGGAATGAGGGATGTGGGGGGTCACTCCTCGCTCACCCCCTGCCCCAAAATGCCCCAAATCTTGTGCTTTCCCACCTCATCTATGGTGTGGTAGGCCTCGTAGTTGAAGGTGTTGGTGTTGAGCGGCAGCTGGCGGCTGCTGCGGAGCATCTCCCTCTGCTCTTCATCCAGCAGGGCCTGCGGGACAGGGGGTGGGATGAGCCTCATTCCCACTGCACGGCATCCCCCCCCTCCCCTGCAGCACCACTGACCTGCACATCCTCGATCATGATGGAATAGGAGACCCCAGCAGCCTCCAGGTGAGCTTTGACCGCCTGCAGGCTGGGGAAGGGCACGCGGATGTCCACGGGCAGTCCGAGCCCACGGGGAGCCAGCCAGAAATCCAACTGCATGGAGAAAAATGGGGATAAAGGGATCAGATCCTGCCTCAGGATATACCCCCAGCACCAGCCTGTCCTGCTTTTCACAGCTTGGTTCCCATTATCCCACATCCAGCCCCATCCCTGCTTTGCTTGGGGGGTGTCCCCAAAATCCACACCCAGTACCTGCAGATGCTCCAGCTCCTGCAGCTCCTGCACCTTCTGCATCTCCTGATCATTCTGGGGGATGACACGCAGCACCTGGTGCCTGTGGGGTTGGGAGATATGGAAAGAGCTCCAGCCTTGTTAGTCCAGCCTAACCCCACCCCATCCATCCCCCCATTCCAGGGGTCTCCCCTGAGCCTTTTCCCTGTGCTCCCTCGGGGCTGAACCAGCTCCCACAGCTTCTGCCACCATGCCCATGCCAGCCCCCCTACCCAACAAAGGTCTCGGTGCAGGTGGCCACTGCCACCAGGGCAGCCAGGAGCACAGGGAGCCTCATGGTCAGCAGGGAGAGTCAGTCTCACATCCCAGCAGTGCCCTGGGGCCTCTTAAATCCCATGGGATGGTGGCCCCAGCCCGGCCCCTCCAGCTGTCCCTTTTCCCAGGGCCCTGCTGACCACCCAAGGCCAGGCCCTGCTGTCCCCATCCAGGCAATCCCAGTCCTGGCCAAACCTGTCCCAGGAACCAGCTGGGGTCATGGTGAGTCAGCTGCCAGCAAGGTGAGAGCAGGAGGTGCCAAAATCCCAGAGCCCCCAGCGCTGGCTGAGGGGAGGGAAAGGATCAAATTGGGTTGAGAATGTGCAAAATGCAGATTTTCACTTGGTGAGCTGGATCCCTAAGCCACAGTGGTGGGGAAAACGGTTTGAGATTTGGCTGAGGAAAG